TACATTTATCTATGCATGTATGTAGGATTATAAACTTATCATTTAAAGCCATTTTTTTGTTTTTTGTTTCTTTAAAACAGCAATTAACAAGTCAGGTACTAAGTTCAGAAAAAGGAGAAAAACAAGGATTATTTAGAATGATAGCATCTAGCTGCAGGGAAATATATTATAAATAATCAAATCTGGGGCTGGAGAGATGGCTCAGCAGTTAAGAGCATTGGCTGCTCTTGCAGAGGACTCAAGTTCTATTCCTAGCACCCACATGGCAGCTAATCAGGGTCTGTAACTACAGTTCCAGGGGAATCCGGTGCCCTCTTCTGACCTCCAAGGGCATTACATGACATGGGTGCACTAATACACATGCTGGAAATACATTCACATACATAAAATACTAAAAAAGAAATAATCAAATTTTACTGCCTGTCAATAATTCTCTGAGAATTATTTCACAATTTTGTGTTAATAAGAAAGTTTATTCAGTTTGGGGCTGGAGAGATGGCTCAGCGGTTAAGAACACTGACTGTTCTTGCAGAAGACTCGGTTTTGAATCCCAGCACCCACATGGCAGCTAACAACTGTACGTAACTCCAGTTCCAGGGAATCCGACTGCCTCTTCTGTCCTCCGTGGGCAATGCACAACACAGGTGCACTTACCTACATGCGGGCATAACACTCATACACATAAAATAAAAATAATAAAATATTTTTAAAAGTTTATTCAGTTAAAATTGGACAAATGAAATCTGTTTTGGAATCTGCTAATATTTTCTTTGAGGGCCAGTGAGACGACTCAGTGGAAAAAAGGCACTTACCACTAAGCCTGACAACCTGAACCCCAGAAAACATACAGTAGAAGTGAGGAATCAACTCCTGCCAATTGTCTTCTGAGGATGCACACACTCTGTGACACATGCACACACCACTTCCAAAATAAATAAGCATAAAAATAAATAAACTCAGCCAGGCGTAGTGTCACATGCTTTTAGTCTGAGCACTCAGGAGGCAGAGGCAGGTGGAGCTCTGTGAATGCCAGGCCAGCTGGGTCTACAGGGAGACCCTGTCTCAAATAAGACCAAAAATTAAAAAATATAAATAAATAAACTGAAGTTGATATTTAAAAAAAGAAATTATCTTTGAGATTCAGTAAATAGAAGGTTTTTTTGGGGGGGCACTGGAGAGATGGCTCAGCAGTTAAGAACATTGGCTGCTCTTCCAGAAGACCCAGGTTCAGTTCCTAGCCACCTACATGGGACTTAACAACCATCCTTAGCTCCAGTTCCAAGGGAACTGGCCTCTTCTTGCCTCCAAAGGCACTGCATGCATATGGTGCACTTACATACATGCGGGCAAAATATTCATAAACATAAAAACATAATAAAAATAGAAATTTCATGGGTATTTGAAATGTGTTTGTGGGATACAAAGTTATACATATATTTATATGTCATTATACAAATAAGGTTAAATATGTTAACTAAATTCTTTATAACCAAATATTTTTATGGACTCTGATAGGATGTTAAAATCTCTAAATGTAATTTTAATATGATTTCATTGCTTTTTGTTTTCTTCTTATTTTAAATAAATTTGTTTTTTATTTTTTGAAATATGTGTGAAAGTGTGTCACTAGACTGAAAAGGCTTGTGTTTTCAGTACAATATCTGAGAAGGCTTTGCCTAATCCAAGGTCAGGAGGATACACGCCTATATTTTCTCTAAGAATTTTATAGTTTTAGTGCTTCATTTAGTTTCCAGTTAGTTTCTGATTCACTTAGAGGAAAGGGTTCACTGTCTTCATTCATATGGATACCTCTAGGTATTAAAGTGGTAGCTCACACTTCATTAGAGGAAAAGGCTGTTCTCTTCCCCATTGAATTACTTTGATAGTCTTGTCAAAAATCAATTAACCATAAATGCAAGTTTCTGAACTCTCAAATCTATTCCATTCCACTAATCTTCTAACAAACTCCTTTTCCACTAGCCAGCTAGAAAATCTCTTGCTTACAATTATGAATGCCGACTGGTACCATTTTCCTCAAATGTTACAAAGTGATCTGTGGATGCTATTTCTATTTGCCATAGTAGACCCCTAGTGGCCGTGGAAGAGAAATTATGCTAGTGGGTGAAATGCATCAGGTTCATTAACTGAGTTTACAGCCATTCCCTTCTGGAGCTGAGCAGTTGCAGAACTTGCTCTTTGGAAAATACGCCAACACTGCTGCTACTAGCAGCACCGGTGAGGCTCTGAGAGCAGTGTCTCTCGGTGACTGCCTCAGTGTCCCGTTGTGTCAGTAGCCTACTGGGGACATGGATTTCTAAGAGAAACTTCCCTAGCAAAATTTTCTACAGACTCTTGGTCCTGTTTCTCACATATTCCCAGGGAAGGAGGTGTGATGTATCTGACAAATGAAGATGGAGTCAGGGAGAACTACAATTTAGCCTCTTCTCACACTGATATATGCCTTGCCTGCAAAGAGTGCAGAAAGAGTGCTTTCTGTTTTACTTTCTCCATTAGACAGACCTGTAATTTGGGGAGCTAAAATATTTGTGAGGCCTGTGCAGTAAGTCTACCCTCTCTCCACCCGAGCTTTTATTGGTAAAGAAGATGACAGTTTGATCTTTGTTGGTTTACCTCCAATTGGACCCAAACTCTAAATGGGATGACCTTGAGGTAAATATTACTCAGAAAATGCTCCCACCACAGCAAGAGTCCTCTTTCATGGGTTTATGATCAAGGGCTACTCTGGCATTGTTTATCTGGTTTGCTCTCTGACTGAACTTTATTTTTTTCTTTTTTTGGTCTTTTTTGAGACAGGGTCTCCCTGTAGTCCCAGCTGACCTGGCTATGAACTCACAGAGATCCGTCTGCCTCTGACTCCTAATGTTGAGATTAAAGGCATGCGCCACCACGCCCAGCCTCTGGCTGAACTTTTTAAAGACTTTATACCCCTGCCCCATGGAACTGATTTTCTTTTACAGTTGTTAATTTTCTTCTTTTTTTTTTTTAAACAAAATGAAATGAAACTAAAAAACCATGTTCTCCACTATTTCATGCGGTGTTTGATAGGAGATTAAATGGATGTGTATAATGGCCACTCATGTGCCACTATCAATAAGCCACTAAAATAATGAGGATTACAATGTCTACATCTACTAACCTAGGCTTTCTGCTACCCCACATTACCTAATTGAAAATAAGACACATTACAAATCTTGCTAGAAGGCCTGCACAATGACAACATCAGGTGGCAGGCCAATGTGGAGGAGGAAATCAGTCTCTCAAGGTCCCAGCTCTAGATGAAGAGCTACGGGAAACCAATGACATCGGAGGAAGGGCTATCTGTTTTCTCCAAGGACAAGCCCCCTGAGAGGTTATCCAACCCCGAGTGGTCAGTCCTAAACACATGCCTTGATGAGGCCCTGGTGAGCACCAGTAAATGAACTCAGTACATCGTGTGTGTGTGTGTGTGTGTGTGTATAGAACATCAATAACCAAAGGAGAGAGAGGTCATGATGTTGAGAGGGAGTGGGATGGACACGGAAGAAGTTGAAAGAGGAAGAGGATAGGGTGTAGGTGAAGTAAATACAGTGCTCATGTATGAAATTGTTTTAAAAAATTAGAATAAATGAAAAAAAATTAAAACTCGTTAGAGCAGACACACAAGCATTAAAGGCAAACTAAACACCTCACAGCATACTGTAAGTAACTCATCTATAGAAATGTACCATCAGAGTAAGGAAAATTCACATTCACATTACATTATAAAGAAGACTCAACAAGAAGCAGCCAGGTGGGCATGGTGGTTCACATCTATAACCTCAGCTCTCAAGAGCCCAAGACAGGAGGGCTGCCATGAGTTCACAGCCTGCCTGGTTTACTGTTGTCACACTAAGTTCTACGACAGCCTGCACTACAAAAGTCAAATAAGCTAGAAATGTCATACCTACACTCCTAGCACAACTGACACAGAGACAGGAGGACTGCATGAGTTCAAGGCGAGCCTGGGATACAGAAACATGCTGTGTCACAAAACAAAACAAAATCAGCTCAGAGCTAAATGTGAGGCTCAGTGGTAGAGTACTTAATAAACATGCCTGAGGTGTGGGATTTCACCTCCAATATCACAAATAAATAAACAAATATTAAATAAATAATAAAATTTTTACAGAAAGAAGCAGTTTAAGATAACCCTCGGAAGATGAATAAGATTTAGATAGGGAAGAGTAATTCCAATGAGGAACTAGGAAAAGAAAAACACAGAGACAGAAAAGACAAGATTCATTTTAAGGACAGTGCTGGTTACTGAGTATAACTATAAAAGAACAGAGGGAAGCGAGGCATGGTAGCTCACACCTGTAATCCCAATACTTGGTAGGTGAAGGCAGGTGGCTACATGGCTAGTTCAACACTAGCTGGGGCTACATGAAATCCTGTTTCTAAAAGAATGAAAAAGAAAAAGGGGAAATAAAGCTAAAATAGAGTCCAAGTAAGAGGCACAACTAAGATCTAAGATTTAGAGTGTGACTCCCCAGAACCCACGTACTGCTGCACAGTAGCACATGTGTGTAATCTCAGTGCTCCTACAGGCAGACACCATGCAGAATCCCCAGGAGCTTGTGGCCAGCTATGCAGTGCATGGTGGTAAACAAAGAGACTCCCTCTCAAGGTGGAAGGCAAGGGCTGACACCTGAGGCCGTCCTCTAACTTTCACATGCTCTCCATGTTATGAGCACACTTTCACAAGCGTGCATGCACAAACGCACACACACACACACAAAATCATGCAAAACCGCAAAAGCCTTTCTCATTTTAATTCAAAGCACATCTGCAAAATAGGTATTAAGTGACCTACAAATGAATGATTTCCAGGGTTTATACATAAATATTTTACTGCAACGTGCTATAAGCATCCCTCAATCATCACTTCTGCATATACACATAAACAATTAGTGACAAAAACCAATCAGCATGTAAATGATTTACTTATTTTCTATACAGACCTCTGATATGAAAAGAGCCATCATCATTTCTCTCCACCACAAGATGATCAATATGCACAGTTACAGGACTTGGCTCAAGGGATACTGCACTACTCCGAGGACTGTCATCCTATGGTCAAGAGAAAAAATACTGGCATGTTTTTATTAAAAGAAATGAAAAAAGTTAAAATAATAAATTTAAATAAACATGACTTTAGCCAATCCTATTTTTAATGAGTTATAAATCTATCTATCTATATTTTAGTTAATATGTTAAGAAAATTGCCTGTTCTATTTTTATCTTTCCAAGAAGGGTCTCTATATGATTCACTATAAAGATCAATCATTCAGTTTAATAAATTCAAACACAGCATGCATTATAGAGAAGCCATATTTTTAGACATAAATCAAAGTCTGGATAAAGTTATAATAGGGAAAATAAAAATACACTCTAAACATACTTTTAAATTTATCTTTGTATTAGAAACTTGTATCTTCATTGGCATTACTGTTCCAACAGCTTCATCTTCCAAAAAATGTTGAATATTTGTAAGAGAAGACGTAAGAAACTCAGTACTAAAGTTTTCTATATGGCATTGCAGAAATCCATTTTTTTCTGCAAGCAATGAGTGTATTACAGCACCGGGCCCACTTTCAAACCTCAGAGAAATCTTGGGAGAGGATTTGGAATGAATTACAGCTTTCTGGTCAGAACCTAAGAAATGAACATTTAAAAAAAATCATAACTTGGTAATGCTGCTAAAAAAATTCACTATTTGTCATTAAGAGATTATAGTTGCAAAAAAGGATTATACCTACAGATGGTCTATAATATATATAAGATACACAATGCACACCATAATCACTTTTCAAGGCAATTTTCACATACAATACTGTCAACTTATTTTCTACTTTTTGGCAATAGGGAAAAAATATCATGATAGAACTCTATCATGATACAGACTTTAGAGTCAACATTTGTGTGATTACCCATCTATCTTAACAAAACGGATGACTGCGATGAGACAAAAGTCACGGTATTTAAACTGACTGTTAAGCTATTATCTCAAGAAGCAACAAAAGCCCATGGTTTTGCGCCTTCCTCCTTCAATTAGGCTCTTAAATAATGGGAAAATAAACAGAAGTAGAAAGCACAGCTGAAAACTATATAGCCAAACAAAATCAAAAGCTTGCAGTGTTACTTCTTTTCAAAGTTCTAGTAGCATTTTCAAACTGTGGCTCAAATACTGTTTTTTTTTTTAACAGCTTATTACTGTTGGGAATGTGACAGCTAAACTGCTTCTTCTGGTTTTCCTTTCCCTCTGTTCTTCAAATCCTTCTTCTTTTTCCTTTTTTCTTTCTTTGAAAAAATGAAACAGCTGGGGAAAAACAAGGTTATATAGCAATGACTATATAACCCCCCCCAAGGCATGTTATAATAATTCCTTCAGTTAAGAGCAAACCAAAGTAACAGAATGTGGTATAAGTTAGCAATAAATAAAAAGGAAGCTGTTCATCTGGAAATGATGTGAACAGTGTTGACGTGCGGTATAAGTTTTGAAATTTTATTTCAACTCATTTTTTTCTTTTTGTTCACCATGAAACTTTTCCAAATATAAACTCAGCTCCTTCCATTTTCTTTTTCTATTTATTTTTTGAAATATTTTATGTCTATGAGTGTTTTGCTTGCTTGTATGTAAGTGTACCCATGTCATGTCATGCAATGCCCATAGAGGTCAGAAGAGGGTGGATCTCCTGGAACTGGAGTTAAGGACAGTTGTTAGCTGCTATATGGGTGCTGGGAATCAAACATGGGCCCTCTGCAAGAGTAGTCACTGCTCTTAACTACTGAGCCTTCTCTCCAGCCCCAGATTCTTCCAATTTCCAGGTTCTCAGGGTTTACCTTAACTAAAATAAAATCCCTGAAATTTATTTTTTTTTAGCAAAGATACAGTAACCTGTAAGACTTAAGAACCCACTTTTTCATTTTATATACAAATGGTTTATTTAACTCTATTTCCCAGGATGGGAGATGATAGCATACTTTCTGATACCTGCAAGACTGCATTTATTTCTACACATTATGTATGATATAGAATTCGATATACACAGCAAAGAAAAATATAGCTCATTTACTTTTTCTTAAATGTGGTCTTCCTTGAATTCAATCATAACAAAGACAGGACTGTTAATGAGTCATGCATGAAACACAGATTTAAAACATACTGAAGTATTATGTGTAAAAAATTACTTTAAACAAATCTTACCAATTGGACGATTACAAAGATAATGCCGCAGACTGATATTGCCTAACTGATTTGGTGTCACCTGGTGCACCTGAAGACAGATTTCTGTATCTTCTCCTCGGATGTCAATTTCCCCATTAATACCAGTAATTTTAAACACCACAACTGACATCTATTAATGATTGTATAAATGATGTTAGTATATCAAGTAATTCAATACAAAACTTAAGAAATAATAAAAGAAACAAACATTAACCTCTACAAAGGCTTTTGCGACTTATTAAATCAAACCACACTTGTGGCCTATAGAACATGGTTGTTGTATTATGCAGATTTAGCATCGCTAATTCAAAAATCAAAAACCTAGTGGCACTGCAATGCCATGAATAAAAATGCCTTATCATTAAACTCTGTTTCATAACATTGTCAAAAATAAAATGCTGTCCATATAAGTTACCTACAAAACATGATCAACTTTAGGTTTAGACTTGAGTCTCATATTCAAGATACCTCATATGTATAAGTAAATATTCCAAATTAAACAAATTCTGAAGTCCAAAAGTACTTCTAAGAATTTCGGACAAGGAAGGCTTAATCTGTAGTGACAAATTTTAGGGCTTTTCTTTCATTCAGTCATGAGAAAATAATTTGGTTACAAAAATTAAATATATGACATTTCTACATATAATGATTTTCACTAAAAGTAGGATCTATTTAAAATCTTTCATAATATTTCACTGGGTCAGGAAGGTTTAGAAAGAAATTAGCATGCTTCCTTTGTAGAAAGTTCCTCATTGTAAAGATTAGCTACCATCCATGTCATAAAACTTTTAAATAGTATATTCAAAAGAAATTAAAAAGTCAAAATATAAACAAAAGAGGGGAAAATTAGGCCCTCCCCTCTTCAATATAAGCAAAAAAATTTAGAAAAGTGAAGCACTGCTTGATTAATCAAGAGGAAAGCATTTTCAAGAGTAGAAGGAGCAAAGTTAATCATCTATCATCTAAGAAACCATCTTACAAATTAATGTCTTAATGTGCACATATCAAATATGCAGTAAAGTTGGCAGCACTTCTCTTCACAGAATCCCTCTGAAATGATTACCAAGTCTTCGTGGTTCTCTTGAGCACCCTCTGAATTTGTACTAATGGCATCTGGAGAGGCTTCCCCACAGCTCTGCACATTTGCACTGCTGTTCATACTCTCTGCTGGGCTCTGGTAATTAGTATTTGAGTTTTTTTTAATTCCTGAAATAACATGAAGGTAAATTAATAAAGTCAGTTTCACACATGCTTCAACAATGCTATACACCTACCTAGTCAAAATGGACTGTCCCCCTTCAACTCTTTCAAGCATAACCTGGTTTCAAAAGCATTAAGCAAATAAGACCAGGTTGGGATTACTTAGTAAATGAGAAATGATTTCCCATAATAAATGTCAGAGATACTAAAGCCCTAAACATTATGAAAACAAAAACTTCCCACCGCTAAACACAGTGTGCCTCACACTGCAACTGTAGCACAGCTGTACCTGGAAGGTCCCTGCCAACCTCATCCCATCCTCTCAGCTCCCCACATTGTACGGGTGCAGTCTGATCACCTCATTTCTCTTTTCACCATCCCAAAGCAACCCCTAATCATCTGTTATAGGAACTTAATATCACGTGCTCATTCTCCAGGTGTACCCAGCTGCCTAAACGTCTCAGTGTGTTGTACTTCACTATTCCTCAAGCTACTGCAGTAAGAGAGAAAAAAACAATGAAATTCTGTGTCTATCACAAATCAATACTTTTTTTAAAAAAATGGTAAAAAAAAAAAAAGGAACTATTACAGAAATTGATGAGGAGTCAAAGTTGTAAAAAGCATTAAGTCCCAATTTAGTCTTTTATTTACTACTATGTACCTGGCTTCTAGCCTAATGGTTGGCAATATGGAAGGTGCTCAGTAAGTTACCCACAAATGAGGAGCCAGGGAAGATGCATGTAGACTTAATTGTGGTACATGATGGTAATAAAAGCATGTCAGAGTCTTCCTCAGAGTGCAGGGGTTTAAGGTACCACAATATTTTTGCTAACGTGAACAAACTAAAAGAGCTTTCCAAGCACAGGTATAAGACTTTGAGGTGGAAAAAAGTTTGTCACAGTAAAGAAAATGACCATGGGACCAGCGAGTGGTTCAGCAAGTGAAGGCACTTGCTGCCAAACCTGACAATTTCAGTTCGATCTTTGGGATTCACATGGCAGAAACAGAGAATCAACTGCCCCAAGTTGTCCTCTGACCAGTGGTACATGCTCTCCACCCAGAATATACACAAACAAGATAAATAAATGAGTGGATTTAAAAAAAAAAAACACATGTAGAAAGAGTAAACCGAGGTCAAATCATACAGAATATTTTCATTAAAGTTAAGGATTTTAAACTTCATAGCCTTATAGCAATGAGAAGTTACTTAGATTAAACTGGAATATAATATAATCAAATATGTATTTTTAGGTAATATGTTTATGAAGTGAAGAATAAATTATAAATGAACAAAAACTGATGTGGAGACTAGTTACAAGTCTACATTGGGTTAATAAACTGTGTGCTTATGTTTGCATTCATATATAACCATACTCATTCATATGTATATACACAAATACATGTCTGTATACATGTGTAGGAAGCACACATATAAAAATAGATAAAGGTCTACAAACAGAACAAAAGTTGATAATCATTTCTTGAACAGGGAATGATATCAAGGGTAGAGTAAAGACGATGCTGAAATTTATCTTCAGTTTTCCTCTAGATACTTCAATATTATTTGATGTCTTTTCTTACGATGAGAGAATATTCATACATTTCCTATGAAATTACAGCACAAAATATGAGAGGTCTCCTCACAAAGAATATCAATTCCTCTAGCACAAAATGAACAAATAACTCTGAGTTCAGGAGCAGGCTGGGGATGAGTGCTTGCCTAGATGCACAAAGTCCTGGGTATGATCCCACGGATGGCATAAAATCATGTGTGGTTTCCCATGCCTATAATTCCAGCACTTGGAAGGCAGAGGACAATCAGAAGTTCTAGGTCATCCCTAGCTACAGACTGAGTTCAAGGCCACCCTGAGACATATGAGAACTGCATCAAAAGTGGGCGGCAGGGAGAATACTAGTTAGTCCTTTCCTCTGGAAGAAGAATGAACTCCTCACCAGACAACTAAACCTACTAGGGCCTTGGCCTTTGGACTGTCTAGCCTCCAGATCTGGAAGGTCATAGGCCCTAAGAGGGAACCTTCTACTGTTGTTTTGATAAACCAAAACAGTGAGAGCCAGGCATGGTGGTGCACACCTTTAATCCCAGCAGGTGGATCTCTGTAAGTTTGAGGCCAGCCTCGTCTACATAGTGAGTTCCAGGACAGCTGGAGCTACAGGCACAAAAATAGACCCATAGATCAATGAAACAAAATTGAAGACCCAAATATGAGAGGGAACCTTCTACTGTTGTTTTGATAAACCAAAACAGTGAGAGCCAGGCATGGTGGTGCACACCTTTAATCCCAGCAGGTGGATCTCTGTAAGTTTGAGGCCAGCCTCGTCTACATAGTGAGTTCCAGGACAGCTGGAGCTACAGGCACAAAAATAGACCCATAGATCAATGAAACAAAATTGAAGACCCAAATATGAGAAAATGCAATTTCAGCCACCTGATATTTGACAAAGAGGCCAGGAATATTCACTGGAGGAAAGACAGCATGTTCAGCGAATGGTGCTGGCAAAACCGGATCTCCACCTGTAGAAGAATGAAACTAAACCCCTATCTTTCACCTTGCACAAAAGTCAATTCCAAATGGATCAAAGACCT